AAAATCTGGTATCGAAGAATCTTTTTTGAGGTTAGGTTTAAAAATGGTACTATTACTGAAATCACAATTGCCACCATAACACTACGTATCTTAAGTTTAGTACAAAAAAAGCCTAGTGAAAACAGTGAAATTTCAGAAGTCCAAGAAATAATGTTGTTCGTTGTCAATCTCAATCAATTCCCAGTTTCATAAATAAGCTGGTACCCACTTTAAAAGCCTAAGGTCTGTTGCATTTTCAAAAAATGTATTCTCTGATCGATTTGAGAACAGAAGATCAAGGTGGTTTTCAATATTTTAAATCCCCATCAGCTTCTGCACATTTTATAAATTTGATTGGATACAAATTGCTTGTCAGGATTCCAATTGTAGAAATAAAAAATAACTCTTAAAGTTATTGGCTTTTCACAATTTTATGAAAAACTTTACAGATCCTTGGCTACTCAACAGTCACAACCAGGTCATTTATTTTCTTCATATCCCTGGACTATACGTTTCTTACTATTGTATATACTATACTGTACTATTTTTTTTTTGAAGAAGAAAATATTAAAGAAGAACTTAACAAAAATTGAAACTCTGAATGATGTTAACGAACGGTGCTGTTAGGGAGCAAATATGACGAATTACGAACGTTACTAAAAATTCAAACTTTGCCAACATTATTGGCGAACGCAGCCACCTAACCCTGTTCGCGACAGTGCGGACCCACCGTTACAAATTAAATAAACGTATACAGCACGCAAATTATGTCCTTTCGCACGCTTATTTATAAAACCATTTATTCATTCAATGACGCATTATTTAGTTAAGTTGCTCTCTTGCATAGCATCACACTCGGTTTAACAAGTCCTGGTGATAACAATATGCACATTTTTATTGCCTTGGCGGATATTTTCCACTATGTATCTTGGTCCATAATTACATCGTGTTGTAGGCAGCACAACACGGAAAATTTTGTTCATAAACGAGAGGGTTTGAAAATGATATTACTTGAACGTCTTTTTTATGTACAATTTATACACAATTTTCGTATTAAGCGTGTGCTTTTGCACACCATAGAAATCCGGTGGAACAAAACAAAGATAAACCGATGGACGACTGTAAATGGAACGTCATAACATAAAAGACTTGAGTTTAAATTTTTTAGGAAGAGTACAACAAAACCGTGAAAATGGTCGACCAATTGTTTATATGGATTACACGTTCATTCATTATTTGCCCACCCATGAAATCCCGGTCGTTACTCAAATATGTCGCTAGTGAAAATGTCACTTTCGCTTTGACAGACGTAGAAATGTTGTATAACGAATTTTTCTACACATTTGCACCAAAAGACACTGCCAACACGTCAAAAAAAAATTGAAACAGAATTAATGACTGTAGAACCTGTGCTCGAGCTGACTGTCGATTAAATTATTATAAACCTTCAAGATTAAGATGATTCACATGGTGAAGACAACATTTGTAAACCTAATACTAACGAAAGTGACTATGAAGAAGACATTTAACTACATATTATTTTTATTAGTATGAATTATATTTATCTAAAATAAAACCGAATACCTACGTACAAATATTAACAAAAATTTTATTCTTCCCAAATTTATGACCAAGACTATTTTTGTATCAATTTGTAATTGTAGATTGTAAATATACCACTTGTTAAAAATTATTAAATTTATCATCCATGGTCATTAAATATGATCAAATATAGATAATCAATCTACTTTGAAATAGGTATAAATAATGTTAAGTACAGGTAATTTGCTCATATTTAATAATATACAAAGTGCTTTGCAAAGTAAATGGGACTTTTCAAAAATTTCAACTGATACAGGAATGGTAGATCCTTTGCTGATGTACTGTTAAAATTTTATGACATTTGGACGAATAGAAGCGGAGTTGTTGCGTTTGGTGACAGTATGTTTGTGTCGTCGGTATAAAAATGAGCATCGAATAAAGAGATTTAAGTTTTGTTTTAAATTTGGTGAAACGTTTTGCCAAAAAAACTTTTTGTTCCAATTTTTACAAAGTCGTTTACTATTTAACACAGTTATTTGATATGCTTTATTATGGAATAGATGTAACTACATACTGAAACGTATACTGTTGATGATTATTTCGTTACCTGAGTCAATTCATAAAGAACATGTGTCTTAAATGCAGTAGTTTCATCATCATTTCACAACACAACATCTTTTTTTCGTTATTACTAATATTATTACCAATTCTTTTAGCTGAAATACAAAATAGTTAATATCGAAATACTATCATTCTTTCACAATTGTATCAATAACAAACCGTTTTCAGTTTACAATCTGTGTCGAGACTTTGGTAGCAGCCGTAGAAAAACTACACGACGAATTAAATATCCCACTTCGTTGCAACAGGCGATCATCAATATTAACGATGCACCAGCGAATACAACTTCTTGTACGAGAAACGGAGGTCACTGAACCACTTCCTTCTGCGCTTTAGAGCGTCTTTATTTTGCACTTTGACGAAGACATTGTTCTGACCAGCTAATGCTGTTAAGTAAACATAATCGGTATTAAACTGGAACTGACTTTCTTCGCATTATGGTTGATATATTTATTAACAAAGTGATCGGTTTGTTAAGTCAATATGAAGTTGATTTTCGTTATGACAACAAATAAAGTTGATATTTATGTTATAAAGATCATAACGATAATGAATATTCATAATCCAAATTACATACATTACTTTAATTGGTGGTATCGATTTTTAAATATTTAAATTTGAATATTCTATTGCGTTGCGACACTTATTGTTGAATTAGTGAATATTCGATGTAATTTAATAAAATGGGTGATTTAGATGATGACAATTTACCCTCCAGTATAAAGTAAAGAGCTGAAAATGTTATCGGTTCTCTTCTACCAGAAAAATCACGAATTATATTAGACCAGGAAAATAAGGAAATGAACGAACTTTTTACATTGACATTTTTTTATAGAAAAGTGTAGGTTTGAGGTCAGAAAAGATTTCCAGAAAAATGAGTTTTCTTTTATATTTGTACTTTGAATATTAAAAAATAAAAATTTGTAATATAATGAAAATGAAATTTAAATTTGATAACAATAGAGATGGAATTTTCTGGAGCTGCAAAGGTATAATAAAAAAATATTAATATATTTTTTTTTATTATTTATAATTAAAAAACAACTTTTTTTATTTACGTAAAACTGCTTCATCGCTGTCGCAAAAACAGGTTTTTCTGGGAAATATTGAAAAGCGCATAATCAATTTGTAATCGTAATGTATACTCTCGAAAACTCCTAAAATGATGCTTATAAATATTCCAAACTCGGAAAACTGTATGTATAAGATTTTCCAAGAGTTTTCCACAATTTTTTTTTCTCTAATTTACTTTTGTTATTTAAAAGTGAATTGACCATTATTTAGCTACAAAACATTAATTTTCACATAATCTGTACTTCATTTAAAAAATATACGGGAAAACTATTGGGAAAATCGAAATTTTTCATAGAACCAATTTTGTGTAAATTTAATTTTGAACAAATTTTCTCTGAAACTTTTTTTTCAAAAAAATACATCTTCAATGACAGTTTTTTTAAATATTTTTATATTAAATAGTTTAGTTCGAATAAAATTTCAAAAGTTACATACGTTTTTTTCTGTTATAAATGAGTTTCATTATACTAGTAGTAATGATCTGCCTTATGTTACTAAAATATATCCTTTTTAGAAACTTTATCCTTGTGCTACCGAAATATGTACATCCTTTTAAGAAAGCTTATCTCATTGATCCAAACTTTAGTATATCCAGGTGTTCACTATATCCTATCAATTTGAATAGATTTATTTTTAGCTTTTAATTCTATTTCAATTCTCGATATCTATTTATAGCTTTCTTCAAATTAGGTTAATTTAAAAGAAACCGTTCTGTTTGACCAAAGAGTTTCTTAAGATATATGTAAATACGAAGTCGTTAGTTATCTAAACAGATAGAAGTTTTTAAACTCGTTAGTTCGAATACGGAGGTATTGAATACTGAAAAGAAATAGATTGGAGAACGAAATTCTAATACCGTTTCTGGTATATAAATCACGATATTTCCCTTTTACATACGGAAACCTTGTTAATTTCAACTTAGCTTTTTAAACGTGGGTTAATTGATTCCAGTGGCGTACTCATATAAGTTTGAGAGGGACTAAATTCAAATATAACTATAAAGAGCGAATGTAGAAAGTATAGGTACATTAATTTCTTGTACGTATTAATAAAAGAAAAGAGAAAATATTTTTATATAAATAAAACAATTTAATATTAAAAAAAAATTGTTATGGTAATAAAGAAAATATCAGGAATATGTACAGGGTGTTATGGAAATAAGTACCACAAATACAGGAACTAATAGCACATCAAAAATTTAGATTTCTTCTTTCGTTCTAACTCTTTTATGTTTGACATACAAGGTGTCAAAGAAATTGTGTGTCAAATTTTAGCTACACCTTTTCCAGAAACAGTGTATTACATGATAATTGGTACAGATAAATTTTTAAGGAGACTAAATGCCTTATTAGTTTTTGGTCATCTGCTAGAGGTCGTTATCTACTTTAATAAGTGACATTTTGTAATATAGAACGTTTGAGTTTAGGTTTTTTACGGTGTTTACATTATTTGGAGAATATATGGCTAAAATTTGTTTTAAAAATGTTTCCTTGACGCCCTATATCTCAAAATAAAAGACAATAGGCGCATGTTCAATGGGGAAAAAATATATATTTTTGATGTTCTGTCAGTTTCCTAAATTTATGGTACTTGTTTCCAAAACACCCCGTAGACAATGAAGAATTTACTACATAACCAAATAAAACTGAATTAAAGAAAAATTTACAATGAAAGTTAACCTTTTTAGGCAAATTGCATTTCTCATTTTTTGTCTCACAGAGATATTTTTTTTGTAGGCCAAATATTATGGAGTTATGAACTAATCTGAGTCTTTTTTGTTGCAGGCATCGGCGCTACGAGGACGAAAACCAGTGGGGGTGCGGTAGTTGGTTAGAATACACATTAGTGATAGTTCTGGCGAGTATATTGCTGCTTGGGTCGCTGGCCCTCACATTATTCTGGATAATAAAATACCACGACGGGTTCTCATGGAGAGAGAACCCCAAGAAGCAGTTCAATTTACATCCCGTTCTGATGGTTGCAGGGTTTATTACGTTCAGTGGATTCTGTAAGTACACATGCTTAAATTTTGTTCCTCACCACATACCTTAATAAAAATGCATAGCGAATAAAAAATTCACAAATAGTAAGGGTTCTCCCTTAGAGGAAATATGTCGTAATATACAGGGTATCTCATTCAAGTCGAACTCCTCCACAGCTTGTCTCTGTCAATAATAAAAGAAAAAATTTACATAAAAAACATATTAACATTAAATCAATACTTAGAGATAAAACGGTTTGATGATTTAAAGACATATTAAAATTAATTAAGATTTAAAAAAAGAGCTATGACATATCACATATTGAAACCAGGTTAACTTTTCAGCAAACGATAATTTGAAGCATCACGCTTAACCAACCACAAAATTTCTATTGTCGGATTTTAACCATGACGATTGTTTCTGCTACTTTTCAGCGTTATAAAGTGAAAGTAAATCAAATAGGCGCCTCTGAGCAAAAACAACTGTTATTTACTTTCCTCTTGATCGTAGTGCCCCTAGAAAACCAGACCGAAATATCGAGCATTCGTAAATTATGCTGACACGATAAAAGCAACTTTTAATTGTTTGTAAATTGACAACCAAAGAAAGTAGCTTTCAGATCGCGAGCTTAGTAGAGCATTTCATTGCCGTGTTTGAACAAAATCACAAAGATAGTAAAATTATACACGAAAAACCTTTAAATGTACACGCTGTGATAATATTTACCCCAGAAATGCACTTTCAGAACAAATCGCATTAGTTAAATTCCATATGGTTGTCTTGTTGGCACTATTTGCAAGTGATACTATAATTTCCCATCGGAATAAATCGTTATTTTTTGTATAAATAACATTTTTAACGTTTTCTAACATTTGAAATACTTTATAGCCACTGGTTAATCGTTAAAAAGTGTGAATCCAACCTAATTTCTCACCTAAACTACTTTTTTAATATACACTGTTCATAGTTTCGTAGGGGATTTGTTATAATAAGAAATTTTAATAATCAAAAGTGCAAAATAGTGCTTAAAATTAATATATAGATTCAAACTTATTGAGGACCTCTGGAATCGTCCCTTACGCACGGAAAGGTTATTCTTTTTTTTTTTTTTTGGTCGCTTTGGTTGTGATCGCAGATAGTGCGCCTTATCACTATTTTACCCGTTTTTGTAGTAATGAAAACTGCACATCTTTCTGCATAGAGATTTTTTGTAAACAGCGCCAGCCGAGCTTTCATTGAAATCAGCGGTTCCAAAAATGTGTCTTCTTATTATTGGGGCTCTCCAAGTTTGTAAACACTTTGTATCTACTCTAAGGATGTACCAAAATTGCAGCACATACATATGAATGTATTAGTAATAATTATTTATTACTACGACTCTGTCAAGAGCATTTTTTAAAGAGATGCCGATGAAAACAACGCAGTACGAGGAGATGAATAAAATATACTCTGTATGTGAATTGCAATCATAATTATGTAATATTTTTAGAAGTTACGCTATATATAAAACCATGTAATTGTTATTAATTACACACATGTGTACCGATCAAAATGTCAATGTCACGACTTGGCTATCAACCTTGAATATTCTTTCTATAGTTGGTTTTTTATGAAAGCATCTCTAAATGCACTTTATATGCATATTTACATTTCACATTTGTACGTACTTAACTTCCTTTGTGTAATTATTTAATAAAAAAGAAAGGCAATATAAATATTCAAGTACACTAATCGTGCTTGAATCATACATGAAAATATTTCGCAAATTTAGAATAAAAACGATGAAAAAACGATAAAAATTTGAATAAATAAAATTAAAAATGATTGTCAACAGTCGATATATATTATTTATGTAGATATAATTTTTTTGTCTCCTTTTTCTTTAAAAATATCTCTCTGAAGGACCCAGAACGAGATATCTGAATCTTATCTAAAGAAAAAAGGTCCCTCGTAGTGAAGGCTACTTTGGTTGACACGCTATAACTCATACGGGGATACAAATCATATACTCCCCAGCTAAAATAAAAATATTTTTGGGTTGATAACCGAATGCCCTGTGAAATAAATATCCATCGTGGTGTGAATAAGAATTATCTAGGAAATAAGCCTATTGGAGAAATCCACAACCGTCCCACATGACAACAGGACAAGCGCTTTCTTTTATTTGCTTCACTGAATACAAACGGATTCATATTTGCTATAAGAATCTTTAGAATAAATATACGGGGGGCTTAGAAAACATAGATGCAACTGGATTAATGCAAATGTTTTTTGCAGACATTTTATTTTTAATACCTATTGACTAACCACAGTAATACGAAGAAACATTTTTAGAACGGCTGGCTTCACCAATAGCTCGTATGGCTGTTCCCAGGTGTTTACACAAATCGTTGCACATAAAGAGATGTAGTTAAAACGCAGTTTTGAACATTTGTTTGCTAATAATTTTCGTTCAAACTTAAACAATAAAAGATATATACAGGTTTTCGTAATCATAACTGATGTAGAACTGAAGGTAAGCTAAAATTGAAATAGCAATTTCTCTGTTTGCTGCAGAAAACAACTCCTCATTACTATTTACCTCCTTTTATGTAGTATGTAAGCCGGGTACGATTTCAGAGGTTCCCAATAAGTTTTAATAATTTTTTGTTATAATTTCTAGCACCGCTTTGCAGTTTCAATGGTTTTGATTGTTGAAAAGACATAATTATAATGTCCCCACTAATTAATATTAATTTGTTCAAAGTAATAAAAATAACACCAACTAGCAACAGACAGATAATAATACATAAAATGTGAGAATGTTTTGTATCAAAAATTGTATAATGAAACTATTTGCATCTAAAAATTATTAGAATAGAACATTTTTAACATTTAACATAAAAAATTAGAACCAAAAACTTATATTTTAAAGTCATCCTAGTTAATTCGAAAGATATATACAAACTTGAGCTTAAACTAATCGTTAAATATATAACTGTGACGTTTTGCTGTTTGTATTATGTTAGTGTTGATTAAAAATAATATATATACTTTGTCATATGGCTAATTAATTTATTAAATGTACTAATTACAACGCTTCAGATATATTAATAAACGTCATAGATAAGTGTATGCGATATTTTTTTTACATATTGGTAATTTTACGTAATATTGATTTACTTCATATAAAGTTTTTTCTTCCTGACATAATTTCTTGAATAATTATTAATTTACTGGGAGAACAGGTCACAATTAAATAATTTGTTGTAAAGCAATTTATTTTTTTTATAAATATTTTTTTATTACGATCGTTTCGGGATTATTTTTCCCATCTTTAGATAAAACGATAATAACCATCGATTATAATATTTTTCCTTATGTAAAAATTAAAATCTAAAAATATTTGAAAATACCAAGTTAAGACAATATACATTAAAAACATTTTACTTACAATTGGTCATCAAATATTGTATAACATCCTTTCCTGTTAAGCATATAATGTAAAACAATAAAATAACTACTTTTCTTATTTTATCTTATTGGTAAAACAATATACAGAAATTAATAGCGTCAGAAAACGAATTGAAATGTGAAAATTATCTGTTAAAACCAAGCCAAGTCGAGGTGAGGAATGTTCAAAAGAAATACATATTACATAAGGAAAAATATTATAATCCATGGTTATTATTGTTTTATGTGAAGATGGGAAAAATAATTCCAAAACGATAGTAATAAAACTGTAATTTTTTTTGTTGCCAATAATTAGTCATTTGTCGATTGCATAGAAAATTCCCTGGGTAATAAATAATTGTTTAGAGTAAAATTAAAAAAAAAATCTAAATGGTTATAAAAGCGTAAAACTAGGTATTGTTAGTATTGATTATTGTTTATTATGACAATAAGTATCTCTAAAAAATTGTGTGTCCTCTCTAAACCTTAATTTTAACCCACTTTTTGAAATTCTCTTAATTAACAATCCTGTCAATCGAAAACCACGCTATCGATCGTTGAAAATTTTTAGGGTGTAATTGACATATGTTTTATTATTTGTTCACAAAGTTTCAGCAATATTTATAAATATTTACTTATTTTAAAAATTGCTCCAAATGTATATAAGATTCTCTACTATTTTTTGTCCATTGTTAATACAAAAATCAACTTTTTTGATTCGCAGTTGTTTTAGCTTTACAGAAAATCGTCAAATGAACAAAAAATAAAGAATGACTTTTTTTTATTTAGGGCTTACTTTCAATGTTACAGGGAAAAATATGTCTAAAAACGGGTCATATTTAGTTATTTTTATATGTTTGTTGTTCCCCTGAATTTAGCAATGCTTTGTTGAAATAGGCAAACTCGGATTCTAAATCTACATATTTGGGATTTTTCTGTACAACAAAATAGATGACAAACGCTAAATCCTACTTTTGGACTACCGCCTGGACTAGAAGAATAAAGGTTCGGTAGAAACCAAAAGGGTTACTTAGGTAAATTATTATTGTTTCCGTGTTAAGAAATACCTAAAACAGTTGGTGAAAACGAGCATAACCCATCTTACTTTGATCCCTGGAGTCTGTGATCGAGCGGTGTTCCAACCTTTCTTATATTTACTACAGATTTGAATTTATTTTTTAATATTATACCTGTATTGTCCAGATATCACCTCGCGTAATTTAAATGACGCCATGGTCTTTCTATTTCAGCAATACTGCTGTACAGGATATGCAGATGCTGCCGGAGGATCTACGTGAAACTCCTCCACACGGTGTTCCACGCGCTGGCCATCCCGTGCGTTGCCGTCGGCTTCGTGGCCGTCCTCGATTCCCACAACCTGAACGAGCCCGCCGCCATTCCAAACTTCTACTCTCTTCACAGCTGGATAGGTTTCGTCACAATGGGACTGTTCGCCATACAGGTAATTCGCAACCTCTCCTAAACAAACGCATCTTCTGAGGGGTCCGGCAAGGTCAAACAGTGTCACTACCGATATAGAGTTGAGTTGCGTAGAATTGTTATTGAAAATTACATGTTGAAAAAGTAGACGTTATTTTAAATGAAATCGTGCAATAAAGGCATGCAATAAGAAAGAATTTGGTAGATGTTTTACATTTCGATTCTGAGAGACTAAAATCAAATTTCAATCACTAGTGAAATAAAATAATTATAATTTCAATAAAGAAAACAACATTAAACAATTAACAATATTATTATATTTATATTAAAATGAAAACTTGCGTTGTGAAACTGGTTTTCACTACCAAAACTAACACAGGAGAGCTCATTTCCTTTGTAAGACATCATTCTATTAATTTTTGCTATTATAACCGTTGAACAAGTGGAAGAAGTAGTAGCATCAACAGTAACTGTAACCAAGCAATAGTAGAGGTAGTGTCAGCATTACTGTCGTTCAAAATCTTCCCGGTATTGATTTTCTGTTAAAGGGAACCTTCGATATATCCTTCAGCTGCTTTATAGCTTTTCCAAACTCTAAAACGCTTCAAAGTAGTGATGTTTAGGTATATCTAGCTTCAAGTATCTGGCAATATTTGTAGGTAAAGTGTGTGTGAGAAACAGTCAACTGGGTGTTGTTTACTACAGATTCAAACCTAGACGTTTTCGATCCAGCTCTTTTGAACTAATGCCAAAACTATCAAGAAAGACCGCTCCTTATAAATTTTTGTGAGTGGGAGACGAACCAACAGAATATCACTTTATTCTCCCATATGCTCTATGCACATCTTTACTAGGTCGTGACATCTGCACCCACCAGCAACAGCAAAAACGGCAACCACCTAAACATAAAGCAATAATGTAGTAGAATACAGAATAAGTTACAAATGTATGTTCATCAATAGAATACAATCATCAACCTTTTTTTAAAAATACGCCAAAGAAATTTCGAATTCGTTTATACTACATTTTTCGTCTTCCAAGTTATAAATAACGAATATTCCTTGATGTCAGTTTCTTTAGATCTCGGCCGAAATAATCCCAAAGACTTCGAATGTTCTGGCAAATAGTAAATACAGAATTCAAAAAATTAAAACGAAGCGATTTCGGATATAAGTGAATTAGCCTAAATCCGACTATTTTGAGTCCACGAGTCTGTGGTCTTCCGTTGTACACGTTATTCTGGGACACCCTGTATATTTAGGAATATATTTCAAATGTTAGATTATCCACAATATTTCACATTTTATGGATATTTATTACAACTAGTTGTAAAATGACGTTTACAACAATAAAAAACGTTTGGAATTTTAGATATATACCTACCTATAAGTAAATTGTTTATCTTTAGAAAAACTTACTTTAAAATTTTTACTTGCGTAGTGTTGGATAGAAAGATGTGTAGATACGAATGCATATCTATTTTTTTAAAGCTGTTTGAAATACTACCTTGATACCTGAAATAGTCTAAAATACTGTTGACACTTTTTTCAAGAAATTCGATTTACATACAGTACGTTCTGAAATATAGTTCAAATTTCCTAAAACCGAATTAACTAATCTAAAATACATGCGAAAAAGCTGTAGCAATGATATTATTTGATCGACTCTTTTCACATACTTTTCGTTTTAACGGATACAGATACACAACAGTAAACAACAATATATTAGCAAAAATGAATATATCCTTTTCCCCTGAGGCGAATTCCTCATCTTCAGCCTACTTCACTAACTGGTTGTTTAATAATATTTCAGAGGCAAAGAAACAGGTTGTTGTTATACAATGCGGATATATTCGCTGGCCCATAAAACTTAAATATTAATTTTAACGTTATATAATTACCATCGGGTTTTGAATGAGAGGCGTTCCACATAAATGAGACACCATGAAGGCTTTATTGTATTCGATAATTATTTTCGATGGTACAGTGAATGTTAATAAATTTTATCTGTAGCGCCTCCTCATGATGAAATCATAATTTAATTGTATTTCTATCTTAATATAAAAACCTGTGAATGTAACTTTATCAAAACAAAATTTGTGTGCATATTTTTTTTCATGAAACTTTTTTTAACATTGGAAATATTTAAGGAGTTGGACATGCAACGAACGCTAGATATTAGAAAAATACGTAGGTAAAAGTTAACATTGTTCAGGGGGTATAAACTTTTAAAGTGCAACAAATGTTCGGTTGTGACCGCTGGGCGCTGGGGTGGTCCGATCGGAGTGATTTTGCTGTCGTTGTGCAGGCTGGACCTCGGGTATAATTTCGGGGGTCACTATGGGTAGAAACATGACAAATCTCTATATTTTGGCTATTTATGTAAGACTCTGTTGATGTTTAACTGAAATTAGCGCGACTAACTAAACTTTTTCCAGGCACATAATATAGACGGTGAATTTGTGTGAATATACCGATAAAGGTGTACAGTTGGTATGGTTGAAGCTTTCTCGGAGCTGTTTTGTGATTCTAGGAGTAGCTGATGGAAATATATAAAATTGGTAACTTTCACAGTTTTATCGTTCTGTAGTTACAAGATGATAGTAAATTTAATGGCAGAAAAACATAGATATGCTCTAGTTCTATAGCAATCTTGATTTAATTCATTGTGAAAGATCAGTAAATAAACCAAAATATTGTGCGAACGATCAAGGCAAATATATGCCATAAAAGTATCATTATAATCAGAAAAAAAATTGAATCCTAAGAACCACAAATATATAAGGTATTTCATAAATAAAAACAAAAGTTTAGTTTATATTTCCAAAATTTAATGTTCAATTATTTTGTTTATATATTTTCCTGAGATCGCAAGAAAATTTGCTAAAACTTTATTCTTTTTAAGAAAAAGTTCTATTCAAATGTGTCAAATTGTACAGTGTTTTACATTATGAAAATACCGCTATGACAAAGTAGGTACCAATATGAGTACAGAAAGGTGTTATAATGAATTTATAAAGTTATTCCATTTTTTTATAAGCGCAAAAATTACGCAGATCTTTAAACAATTACCACGGCTCTCCTAATTAACGGATTTCAATGTCTCTGGACGCATTTTAAAGCTTGAGTGCTGTTTTTAATGTGATAAAATTTTCAAGTATCTAGATGTCTTAATTTAGGCTCAATTAAATTTGCAAAAATTTAATTTTTTTTCAAAAATCTGGATTTGAAAAATTGTTACTCGAAAACTATCGGACCGATGTTAACGAAAATTGGTGTGATGTTTTATTATATCAAAAATATTTTTTTGGCCATGTATGAATATCCTACCTATAATACAAGTACTTTTTAAAAAATCGCAAAAATATTGTAATTTTTTCACTTTTTTTTTGTTGCTTTTGCTACATTTGCAATAATTATATTGTATTTTTTTATTTGAAAATAGGTATATCATGTGTAAAATGTAATTATGAATCTTTTTTACCTCTTCCATTTTTCTCTAAAATGAAAGTTTTTGAACTGTGTTGAAAACAAGAGAAAAAAAAATGGAATTTTTTCCAATTTTTTCAGTATTTGTTTAATAATAAGTTTAGCATATGTTTTGAAGCGCGCGCATAGTGAAATTATGTTTTGTTATATCATTTTGGAGCCATTAAAGCAAAAATTAGCGATACTATACAGGGTGGTCCGAATTTTATGTAGGAAACTTCGAGGGTAGATAGATCTCTTTAAAATATGTGTTTGCCTTATAAACATAGGTCTGGAACGGTCCCATTTTGGAGATACAGGGTGTTGAGGTTTTAAAAAAAAATTGATTTTTTGTTTATATCGCACACTACCTCACAGGTGGTGTAGAAAGAAGTGTAATTAATTTTGTTGATGTGCTTACAAATTGCACTTACTTTTAAACATAAACAAATATTCTTGTAATATTATCGTTAGAAGTGTCTGCCACAAGGGGATTGTATTGGTATGAATAACTTGAGAACGGCGAATCTTAGGGAAAAAATTAAAGTAACCTTTTTACGTATTTTGTGCATTAAAATATAAACCAGTTACAATGGCATGTAAAAAATGCAGTGGCGTAGGTTTTTTTGTAAAATAGGGGGTGACCCCTGTCCAGTTGTACACCACTGGGTGAACCTTTAAAGCTCATATTTCAGGGAATATAAGGCCTACTATCATACATTATATATATACCAAATTTTATTGAGATCGGTTAATAGATTCCGGAGATATAAACAAAAAATTATTTTTTTTGACAACTTCAACACCCTGTATCTCTAAAACGGTGCCGTTCCAGACCTATATTTATAAGGCAAACACATATTATTTTAAAGAGAATCTGCTCTCGAAGTTTCCTGCATAAAATTCGGACCACCCTACCACATCTACACCAAAACAGATCCCGCCTGGTCTAAAGCGAATTTTCTATTTAAAATCAGTTTATGGCACTGGATTATACACACTCTCAATCTTGTTTGTACCAAATTTTAAGAAAAAAAATTCCTAAATTAAACAAATAAAACTTTTTCCTTAAATATGCAGATTCAAGTTAAAAATAATTTTATTATTTATAATTTGGGTGACGTCCACCAGAAATATAGCAGCGTGTTCAGAATCTGATCATCGTCGTTGTGCTGAAAAATGCATTTCCCAAAACGTATCACCCTGTATATTCTTTTATAATTAATTACGGGATATAGTGCATACAAACAACAAAATTGTGTAACGGAACCAAGGAAAATACGCGCATACTCAGGTATCTAGGAACAATGGAGACATAAATGATACCTATCGGAAGTTTTTTCAGTCCGGTAAAAAATGGATTTATAATTGCACCGCTATTAATTGTCCAAGAATTTGTTTTATTGCGCTCCGGCGACGGTTTTCATTTAGAACACGCCTTTCCTGGTAGTACATTACCTAATCGGCACTCCCCTGTTCACCTGTTTAACATATCACGACTTATTCAACGAGTTATGATGCCCATAACAGTACCGTTTAATTGCCGTCTAAATAC